CAATATGTCCGTACCTTTGGCATTTGAAGCACCTGAGAGGGGGTGGAATATAGACTCTCACATTAAAGCTCATATAACCTACCATTACTCTTTCTGGCAGAACTTTATTTTTGAACTCTAGTAATATTGATGTACTGTCCACTTTTTCTCCATTCCTGGAGGCCTGTAATCTCTTCATGCCTGTAATATCTCCTCCTTTTATTACTTTCTTTAACTCATCCAGATTTTCACCAACAGGAATTCCTGTAATTACTCCTCTTACTCCTCTTTCTTCCCCAACAATCTTTCGTTCCAGCACTTCCTTTTTGCACACGGTTTGTAATTTAAGAGTCTTATTTTTTTGTTCAGCATTTTTACAAATGATCAGCAGGTTTCCATCACGTAACACTTTAACAAGTTCTACATCCCCAATCGCTTTCTTTATTCCGTTTGACAAACTGATAGGACTTACTCCAAACATATCCTGCCCTGCTTTAAATTTTAGTATAATTTTTATATCTTCCACCATTATTTTCTTTCTTATTTCAGGTCTGTCTCCCTCGTCGTCAAACGCTCGTTTTCCAGTTGCCGTTCCTTTTTTAACCTTTTCTTTTCCTCCTCCCCTTTTCTTATTCTCTATCCTAGACCATCCTATATCCATATCTTCATCCTCTGTCAGCCCTCCACTACTACTAGCCATCTCGTCCACTCACAATCCAGATTATGCCAAAACCGCCTTATTCAAACTTTTTACTCGCCAAACTCCGTCCACGTCCTGCAGCACTTCCGTCTCCTCCGATTCCTCCTTCTGGCAACATCATCTTAACTGGACCACTGTACTTCCACTGCACATGCGCACAACAGCGCCCCCGCGCGGCGGTGGAAGCCAGAAGTTCACGTGAAATAAACTCAGGTGAGAACAGGTCGGAGTTAGTTTAATTTATTGGACACAAACCTCTGAAGCGCGCGCAGCGGTACTGAAAAAACACCGCACGTACTCCTCCCATTTCCTCCGTGTCACACACCTGAGGAACACCTGAGCGTGCTGGAATGAGGAAGACCGAAGCCCCGCTCCTCTGACAGCCTCCACCTTCTTTATTTATGCCTCGTCATGGCGGCGGAGGCGCCGCCTCTCCGGCTGTTGGGACTCCGCTTTCAGCCACAACAAGGATGAAGTCAGCTCAGAGGAGACACCGACCTGCTCAGGTGAGCTCACCTTTCTTCTCGCACAGGTATAGTTTTTTGTTTTGCTGGCAGCTTGTTCGGAGTTCAGAGCGGGATTAAAGCCGGTGACGTCAGATTATTGTGGCTCCAGCTCATTTTTAGAAACGTTGAAGCTGAAGGATTACCGCAGAGTTTTAATTAAAATGATCATAAATATGCTAGCTCTAAAGCAGACGCATGGCTTAAAATGTAATTAATAACCGCCTTTGTTTTTATGTTTTACTGAACTTTATGTGCTTCACATATTTTCTTACACTTTAATTGATCAAACTTGTCCTGTTTTTTTTTTCAAAGTGTTATTTTTATGAACTGATGCATTGTTTTTGTGTCTTCCTGTTGTTCCTGTCCATCTGATGTAACGACCCCACTACTACTTGTGCAACATGTGAGTATGAAATATTTAATTTCAATGTAATGCCTTTTTAAAGTTTTTTTTGTTTGTTTTGTATTGGTATGTTTGCATTCTTTGCACAAGTAAAAATGAATGCGCTTACATGCTGCACCGTTCATCTGCAAAGAAGCATTACGATTCTTTATTGTCATTCATAAAAATTAAGGATAAAACAGATTTACAGGTCTTAATGAGTGGACTTCAAAAGTTAATAACTATGTGAAACTAGTCCAAAGAAGATACAATATTCTAAACAGTGTGAAACAATTCAAAATCAATAAAAACGACGCCATCATTGGATTAATATGGAGATTATTCAATATCCAGTCATGATAAAATCTATTTTAAGTGGTATCCCCACTTGACCCTCTCTGTATTTTAATCATATCTTATCAAAAAATATTTGTTGTCCTCTATTGTTGTTTTATGGTCCAAGTTTGAAACACTTTTTCTATTATCTTCTAAAATTCATGACTAAGCAAAGGAAAATTCCCTCCAAAAGCTCTGCACTAAAATTATGAAACTGTTTTTGTTTCCTCCCAGCTGTAGCCTTCAGCTGGACAGTTTTGGGAGGGGTGTAGTGGTCGTGTCTCCCTGAGGCCTCTGAGCGCAAACACACTTTTATCTCTTATTAACACAAGCTCTCAACGTAAAGTGCTCTTCTCTGATAAAGCAGAGTTGAACTGATGGAGATTACCTCTTTACCAAAATAATGTTAAAACTATTTAAATGATATGACTCACAGTACACCTAAATGTTAAGAGTGAACAGTGTCTACGTGCACCTAATGTAATTATTATTATTATTTGCTACTAATATGTACAAAAATATATAAACACATTTTAAATGGTCTGGCTGCATGCTGTTCTCCATGTCTCCACCAGGTGGCAGCATATGTCTAACCATATGTTACAGTAGCCTCGAGATTTAAAAAAAAAACAATGGCTTTCACCCAAATTATTAAGGTTTATTTGCATTCCTGCAGCCTGTATGTTGGCTGAGGAATGTCAAAATTTATTTATTGCGCTGTAAACCGTGAGGTTCTGTAAAACAGACCTTAAAAAATGGTCACAAACACACATTTTACAGATGTTGAGTTGGTGTTGTAGTAGCTCAGCAAGATGTAACCTGAGTGCAAACAGATTGCACAGGATCTTCATCTAAATATTTTGCCATTACCATTTACAGTCAACTTTATCCGTCTGTTGGCAAAATGTCTCACGAACCACTGGATGGATTTTATTGGGACTCTCAAAAACCAATTCCTGGATATGCCTCGAAAACTTGATTGTTGTTTGGCGTCAGTCCTATTCAAGATGCTAGACGCAGCAAATCGATGTTACCCAACACAGAAATGGCTGTAAGTTAGTCAGTTTAACAGATAGTGAGCTAATATTTGGTGTGGTAGTAGCTGAGAGTCTCTACACCACACAAACGTAATTTTCAAGTTTTGACGTAAACTGTTGCAACTTGGAACATTTTTCTCTAAAGAAGATGATCTGAATCTTTGGAACGAATGGTGGCGAGCGATACGCATAGGCCTGTCACGATAACAAATTTTGCTGGGCGATTAACTGTCTCAGAAATTATCGTGATAAACGATACTATTGTTTCAAATTTGACAATAAATAGTAATTATTGTCAAATTTAAGAAGAAATGTTGGTTAATGTTTGTGTTTAGTACCTTTTTTGACCACTGGATGGCAGTATAAGACAGTTTGAACCAAAGGATGGATAGTGAGGAAGCGAGCAGCGCGTCTCTTTAAGAAAAATGGGAGGGAGGCGCCTTGACGTGACATGGGCTGTCTCTCGTTCCTATTTTTCGATTCTCCAAATGGTGGACGCTCTGTGTAGTTTGAGCTCTTTAGCATAGCATTTTTTAGACAAAAGCACGGGTTTCAACCATGAACTTTGGAGCTTTGACAAGATTGAGTTTTTTTTCCCCATGTCGGCCTGTTAGCTTAGCTCATAGCTTAGCTTCTCAGCTTAGCTTCTTTTAACGATCCAAAAACACGATTTTGAACGGTTAAAACAGATTTTAAAGAGAAAGGGTGGGGTCAGTGAAGAGCACCGGAGTTGAGCTTTTTGTCATCCAGTGTCTTCAGTAGAAAGAGAGACACGAAGAAACGATAAAGCCGATAAATGAAAATGAGGTAAATAATTTTCATTCATCATGGGATTAATTGATTTATTGTTTATCGCGACAGGCCTAGATACGCATCCCTCCGAGGAATCTTAACCCGTTATTATAAAGAGCCTTTTGAATGTTCGATGACGTCCCAGCACTTGTACCGGTACCTTTCTTGGAAGCGCTTTATTTGAAATCGAACTGTTAGTTTAGCATCGTTAGTGGTTGCATGCAGCAGTTTTATCCGCTGAACAACTGTGTCGAACAGTGAGTCGCATGTGTTCTTGACGTTTTTCTTTGTTTTAGTCTCCGCTAAGTCTTTTAAAGTGAGAACATGAGAGTGTTGGTAAAAATGACAGGCTGCAGAAAAGTGTGGCGGCACCGAGCCTTTCCTGCTTCATAAATGTTTCATGACATAATGGTGCCTCATGAATATTGATGCACAGTTACCATCCTGCGAGCGAACGTTCCTGAGAGCTCAGCACAAATAAAACCCCTGCAACCGTGCAGCCTCCTTCCATAGTCCAAGCTTTGTTGAAGCTGCGCCAGTTGTTCGACGTGAGATTTGGAGTGTTGGTGCGACAACACCAGCACGGAAAGTCAAAGAGTGACCGACCGGGTAGAAGCGGTGTGACGATGATGATGAGAGAGCGGCGTTATGTAATCGCTGAGTGGCAGAGCCAGAAAGGGATAAAGATGTTCCAAGCAAACATGACCCGCCCCGAGCCTTTAACTGGAGTAATGCTGTGCAGCATCGTATGTTTGCCTTTTGAAGCAGTTCAGGAAAGAGTGGCTGAGCCAGTCAGTGTTCTTTTGGGTGTGTCTGTGATGTGAAGGGAGTGGGTCCTCTCCTTGTCTGCGTTTCCAGGCTGTCCCTGTCTCGGGGGACTCTGGGTCTGTAAGTGCTGCTCCTCTCTGTGTTCTGTCACTCCTGCCTCTCCTGGGTCCAGCTCAACACCTGCTCCTTGCAGTAGGCACAGGGCTGGGCAGGAGTTTCTAAGCAACTGGAGGTTTGCTCCCCGTTGGCTTCATACGGTCCAAATATTCAAGCACAAAGACGTGAATCTGTAGTGTCTTCATGTTCACGTTCCCTTTGTGCCTTCTACTCTCTGGTGTTTTGGTAAATGTTTAACATCTGGTTGCACTGCAGGTGTAATCAGTTTGCTTTGTGGTCAAGGTCTAAGCAAAAGGAAACCGCTCGTTTTTCTGCCGTTCCCCCAGTTTCTGTTGCGTTTACATTTCTGGATTTTTGGGATATCGTTAAAACTGGTAAGACTTTTTATTGTATTTTTTATATACAAGAAACTGACTGGAGCAGAACTTGTAGGTTTGGATTCCCCCCCAAAAAGCGTGCGTCTGCAAAACAAACACTAAACAAAGATGGTGCCTTACGTCGTGTGTTTAAGAGAATAATAACGCCCCCCCTCCTGCCCACTCTGCCTATAAGCCGTATGTCCCTAATGGGGTCAGGCAGATGGGTGGGGACCATGCCGAGCTTCATTGAGACATCTAGTGTGTAAATGTGTGCACGTGATCAGACGCATTTTGTTTGTCTTTTGACTGGGCTGTGTTTGGTATCTCATATTTTTTCCTTTTATGGATTTGAAATCCATCTTTCTGTGTCACTAGTTGGAGCATAAAGGAAAGAAAACGTAGGAAAAGCTTCTCTGCTGTTTCTGGATGTTGAACTCTGTCAATGATTGTTGTCTTTAGGGCTCTTTTGGAATGTTTGTAGTGATGGTCAGTCTACTGTGCCAACATGGTCACAAGACTGACACGCTGCTGTTTTGGTCATTTTGTGTTTATCTGTGGTTTTTCCAGACATTTGATACGATAGACCTTTGTTTTCACTGTAGATGGCACATTGAGATTCTCATGGAGCATTCTGGTCACAGTTTGAAACTTCAGTTCAAATATCAAAAACAATGTCACTGAGTGAACCGTTTACCTGTCGGACCTCTAACCACGCAGGGCACCTCTCACCCAATTGACTTCTAGCCACAATAATGACTTTTAGTCATCTGAATGACATAACCATCTTCTTGACTTCTTGCTACTTGAATGACTTTCAACTACACAAGACTTGGAGCCACCCAAATAATTTCTATTTAAAGAAGACTTTTAGCAAAACGGGTCTTATAGTAACAATACCAGAACATCTAGCCACGCAAAGAAATTCTGCAGCACTTATTGGAGAGTAATACAGACGAACACAAAATGGTACAGGTGTACTTTCTATGGAGAGGAAGACAAAGGAAAATACAGCCTATAGCAGCATAGCTAAGGAATAGCTCAGGAAACCCAAGTCAACCCACCCAAATCCAACCTATGGACATTTTGTGGACCATTAGCCTGCCAAATGACTTCTGGTCTTCTGAATGACTTCTAGTCACCCAAATGGATGCTAGTGACACAAATGACTTTTAGCTACAGTATATATGACTTCTAGTTACACAAAACTTC